TTTTTTTTTTTTTTTTTTTTTTTTTTTTTTTTTGGGGGGGGGGGGCAGGATCTTTTAGATAAAGATATGTTTAGTTGTTTCCTTTTTTCAGTTGCAAAAACTTTATATCACCAACTGTGCTATATCGATATATTAGTTGGTTTATTTTCATAGGCAAGTTCAGTATTTGAAAAACACATTTTAAATCAGTATTTGTTATAGACAGACATAACTTCTTTTAGGGGTGTTTTTTCTACTTTTATTTCATATAAATTAAATCATAGTGTTATATTGAAAAAGCAGTTTACGTCAAAAATTTTCAATGCAGTCACGAATTACAGCATATTTGTGTAAACTGTGATAACCTTGATTATCTGCCTCGAGCAACAATCTTTACAATCTCTCTTTAGTGAACAACGAAGGGTGGTTTGAACACATCGTAAAGAACAGAACGATACCTGACGTGAAGGATAACGCAAGCTGTGGTAATATAACGTTAACAGTGGTTTCCATATGTATGATATCGATTCAAAATATGATAAACTGAATTTGAAATTCTGGCGTATATAAGGCCATTTTTGACTGAGTACTCCCATGTGCGCTACTCTCTCCTTTTCCCACGCCGAGATCAAAGCAACACCCCTACCTGACTTTTTTTTCAATTCTCCACTTTTAGATATATTTTGAAATATTAACACCAGAAGTCCTCGGTCTTCTTATTTCAATTTTGCCAAAACAACACACAACTAGAAAGAGATGTTTTTGTTGTTGTTCTTGGCTTTTCATCTCTTTCCTCCGTCTTTTCAGGTCTTCAGTTCGTACCTTCAACATGTCAGTGTGTGAAGATGACGAGGCTGGATTGTTCTTCCCACAGCCTGGTCTCCATACCGTCTCCCCTTCCAGCAAACGTCACCAGACTGTGAGTGCAGTGTAGTGTGGTCTGTAGTGTAGTAAAGTGTAGTGTAGTGTCGTGTGTTGTCTAGTGTAGTGCAATTGTTGTGTAGTGTAGTGTTACCCTCTACCAGGGCCACAGTTATTATTATTTGGATATTTTAGCTGAGGTGTAGTGTAGTGTATTATGGTATATACTGTAGTATAGATAAATGTTAGAGTTCATGCTTCTGTTACTTCTATGATAATCTCAGTGACAATGTACTTTGATTGTACTTAGTATGCATCTAAATCCTTTCTCCATTCTGTATAACAATCCATGTTCATCATTTGAGAAGCGAATGTCTATTCGTATTTTCTTCACTTCTTGGAGATTAGTATTATATTTAACTCCAAATTGACATCGAATACTTTTTTGCCAGTTAAAAAATCAAGTACAGGTCCTATAATCTATATTATGGATTACGACACACAATTGCCTGAGTTATATTCATGTGCCGATTCCTCCATCTTTTCCATATCTCGGGGAACAGATATCTCATGAGGAACAACATCAAAAATATCTCTGACGGTAGTTTTCATGGACTTAGAAGCATAGATCTTCTGTAAGTATCGTCACTTTTACCCGGTAAAGCTTTGTGTTTGTGGCAGAGTTTGATTAAACGGAAATTGTAAATATAAATCACTTTCCCGTCAGTAAATTGCTCAATGCCTATAAAATAACATTTTCACGATAAAGCTAAAAAATAGTAAGACAGATTAACAAATTGAATGTGTTAGTAAAATTATTTATAATGATAGCAGTATTTATTGCAAACAAATTATAATGAAATAATATAAACATGACGTAGAAATCAATTTAATAGAAAATACTACAAAACATTGGGCCGCATTGTATCCGTCTTTACTAATTGTTTCAGACATCTCGAAGGCAATTTCATCGTTTCTTTGAGAAACAACACGTTCCATGGCCTAAGAGGTTTGGAAAAGCTGTAAGTTGTTAATTTCTCATTTGTGGAAGTTGTATACGTCTTTTCTACTCAAAACAAGAAGTGAAAACCACTTAATTTACATCTTAGATAGAAAAATTGATTCATCTGAAAAACTCAGACAATAGCGGAAAAAGTTTTAACAAATAATTTATATTTCTTTGTTGCTTGGAATTCGAATATCCTTGGCTTTGTAAATGATCGTCTGCTTGATTTCAGGTCAGTTGCCAACAATTCTCTGGTCGAAATTGAAAGCGGAGCGTTCCGGACACTGCCTCAACTTATCTGGCTGTTAGTAAAACTTTCGAAATGTGTGTATTTAGTAGATGCATCATCGTCCAGGAATTCCTGTAGTGCTCCCTTTCTTATTCTTTTCATGATCCTGTCAAACAGACAGACTCCAACCCGTGTATTAGTACATAAATGAAGTATTCTTAAACTTACATGTAGGCCTATATGCATGCAATCTTCTTATTTTCATAAATGTCATGTTTTGGATGGTAACATAATTACGAATGTGAAGATGGTAATATGTTCCCTCCTTTGCATTCCAGATTTTTGCAATTTAACCACATACGGCGAATTCCCAGAGGAGCCTTCGAGGGAGCGAGTAAATTAGAATGGATGTAAGTCTCCGATAGCCATGGTGTTTAACGGTTATCGCCAAATGCATATTTTCCCTTTTTCGTTACCAAGTACCATACTGTAATATGAATTAAATTTGGTTTGCATTATCCCTATACTAGATACACATTCAGACCCGGGCCATCAGCTGTCACTTTTATTGCTGCATATATTCAAAATGTATGTCATTCGAGTCAATACCCTGTTGCGTTCTCTTGATGCAATTCGGTGTACACTGAGATCCACGAGTTAAGGCACAGGTCCCTCCAAGTTTGATACAAACACTAAGCAACAGGTGTGCTGACTTGAAACACTATTCATGTTTATATAAGCTGACTGTTACCAGATCCCAGTTTACAAAAAAAAAATTATTTGTGAATGATCATGATTCCCTTATAACCTATTTTCAGTGATCTACGCGGAAACGATCTGCAGTTGTATGGCGACGAGTTTGAAGGGCTACCTGAGCTTAATTACCTGTAAGTTACAACACAAAATAAACGTAATCAGGCAGGGCAGTTGTGCTTTTAGGTTAAAATTCAAACTAAAAAATCTTATGCAGCAGATCATGCGTCGGAGTTTATACCCGCTAGACCTTGAATGTCACTGGTCAGCGAAACTATAGACCAGTGTTGAAACGTTCCTGAATCTAATCAACACGCACTCGTTTATTGGCCAATGTTATAGTCACCTACAAACAAAACTCTACAGCTCTCTATGGGGGAGTTGTTGATACTGTATGCTACACATTGTCACATTTCAGAGATCTTGAAGGGAACCACATCACCCACATCAGAAGAGAAACCTTCCAGGGATACAAATCATTACGGGTGCTGTAAGTAACAATTACTACACTGAATGTGGAAGTTCTGAAAATAAAGGAGTCAAAATGAATGACGGCACTGTGTATAGAATATCATCGCGGCCGCATGTTTATACTATTTAGTTAATTTTTGTTAAAATACAAATTTTTCATTGAAAAGGACAAGGAAAATAGATATCGACGTATAAATCACGGTAATCGCATGTACCATTTCAGAATTTTACGTGGAAACCACATAGCGTCGGTGAGTCCGGACGCTTTCGCCGACCTTCATGCACTGTTACAACTGTAAGTTGCACTATTTACTTTAGACTACTCAATTATATGTAAATTACGTTTACCTCCTATTTCTGGGGCACAGCCATGACACATATTTTTTTTTTCTTTTTTTGAAATTAGAAGAATATTATATGAACTCGTAACGTGTAAAAAAGTCTTCACTGAATCATTAAATAACGTGATATTTTTCTTCATATTTTAGAGACCTTATGAACAACAAGATTATGGTGCTTGACGAGTCAACGTTCACACACAACGTTAGGATGACAAAACTGTAAGTTAACGTCTGTAAATCCAAGCAAGAAGGTGCCGATTCATTATCTTAAATATCTCACGTAAAGTGATACAAGTATTTTTTTTATATATTTTAGGGACCTTGCTGATAATCCACTGCCCGGTTTTCCAAGACGGCTCTTGTCTCCGCTTACACAACTCAAGTCTTTGTAAGTATTACAATGCAATGCGCATCCATTTGGTTTGTGTACCTAGTTGTGGAATACCCTCTACCAGAGCCTCAGACTGATTTTTACTAGGCATTCACAGATATATGTCTCTGGCTTATATTTTGATGGCACATTTCTTCACTGCGTTGGAGAATAGTGCACATAATTAATCTGTGGTCCTGGTAGAGGGTAGAAGTGGACCAAGACCCCCACCCTACGCCCCGATACAGTCAGCAATTTTACCCTACGTATAATCCAAGCAAGGGGGGGGGGGGGGGGGCGAACAACTAGGCTAGTCCTGTTTCCAAGAACCAGTCTAGAATGCCACTATTTGTGGTGTTATTTTAACATCGGATTGTTGAAATTCTTCTTAAGAGAATATTGCTGGTTTGGGTTCTTTAAAAATGCTGCGTACTAAACAGTGTAACATTTCATTTCAGAGATCTTAGTGGCATAATAATCCCAAACATAGATGCGTCGTTCTTTTCAAACCTGAAACAACTGCATCATGTGTAAGTATAATTATAATGTATAAAAAACCACTCTCTCAAGTAAACACCCTATACTACTGCCAACCAAACTTTAAGTCTTTTCAAATATGCAAAACATTATCAATATTGAACAAATTTATCGTAATTTTTACTTTCCAAGTTTAAAAAACACTTTGTAAAAATATGCCTAGAAAAAAGCCAGTAATTAATATGCTATAGAACTCGTTTCCACACAGTTTTTATTTTACCTCCAGACACTTCGAAAGGTTCAGTTATTGTCACAAAGCCATCCACGTCCCAAACTGCTTCCCCAAAACAGACGGTCTGTCCACCATAGAAAACCTGCTTGCTGACGTCATCCTGCGCGCGCTGGTATGGATCATGGCGCTGATCACGTGTGTGGGCAACTTGTTCGTCATGTTAGGGAGGTTGATGATCAGGGAGGAAAACAGGATGCATTCTGTTCTAGTGAAAAACCTAGCAGGTACAAATATATTTAAAAGATGTCTGGAACCTTTTCTCAAAACCTAATACTTTGTTTCTGTAGTGTTACAAATACATTTAATGTTACTGAATTGACGTAAACCATCGCACACTGCCTTTAATGCGTTAGGTAAACACCTAATTCATTTTGATAAACACTTTTATTTCTGACAAGTTAATTATTTTTACTGCATGGTTTTAGTCTTATATATAATCTCGGTTGATCTTTTTTTAATCTAAACACCTTCTTTTGGTGCAAATGTTAGGAGAAGAAATACGTGCATTTGGTAAAATATTTTCGGTTAAAAATATCAAATTAATAATATCCACTTTCTCTGATTATATAACATTTCATTTTACAGCCTCCGACTTTCTGATGGGTATTTATCTGATGATCATCGGCGCTAAAGATGCCAACTACCGCGACAACTACAACATGTACGCCAGCGACTGGCGCTCCAGCTGGGAATGCCGCTGCACGGGTTGTCTCGCCATGGCGTCCTCAGAAGTTTCCATATTAATCCTAACATATTTATCACTCGAGCGCTTCGTCGTAATCTCACACCCTTACACGACAAAAGGACTGACAAGCAAAAAAGTGATCATTGCCTTGAGTGGGATTTGGACGGCAGGGATACTCCTAGCTGTAATCCCGGTGACATCCACGCACCTGTTCGGGGACTTCTACGGCACAAACGGGGTTTGCTTTCCACTCCACATATACGAGCCATACGAAGCCGGTTGGCAGTATTCCTCGTTCGTATTCTTAGGTTTGAACTCGGTCTCTGTTCTCATTATTGCGCTGTGTTACGTCAGTATGTTCTGCAGCATACAGAAGTCACGCCAGCTCTCACACGGGTTTTCAAGTGACAATTCTTTTGCACTGAGGTTTTTCTTCATTGTTCTGACTGATGCCTTGTGCTGGGCGCCTATCATAATAATCAAAATCATTGCGCTAACACGGGCTCCAATTCCAGGTTAGTCAGTGAGAATGCGGTCGCTTCATATATGCACTGTCGATCAAGTATGACGTGTTCTAGGTACTTATATTTTGTCCTTTATACTTTGTCTTGTCGATACATTAACACATCTACTTTAATATGTCAATTTTGTTTTCTATTTAGATGAGGTTCATGCGTGGGTTGCTGTGTTTGTCCTTCCAATCAACAGCGCCATCAACCCCGTTCTATATTCCCTGACTACTGTGACATTCCGCACCAGGCTGCAGAAGTGGGGCTGTTGTCTGAAAGCACAACCACAGACCAGTAGTAAGTACATTGTATCGTCACAACTAACACAATGGCGAATCGCCTCTTTGTCACACTTTACAAACTGACCCAGTCTCTGGTCAACACATCAGCTGAAACCAGGCTGCAGGAGTGGAAGACCTACATTTCATTGTCACAACTACCAAAGTAACCAGTTTGCTCACTTCAGAAGTCACTTGTCCTTTGAACAGCTCTCAGTACACTGCTGTCTGTGAAGAGGTGCATTGCAATTGCTTTAAGATATACGTTTACTTTAACGTGTTTTCAAAAAAGATCTGGCACCGCCATCAAGCAGCTTTCTTTGCCGTAATTACAAATCTTTCGCTATATTAGCTTGGTATTTACAAGATAAGACAGAAATGTTTGGCATAGGAACCTACCGTCTCTAATCTCCTCTAATCGTAAATAAAACCATTTTAATAGCTCGTGTTGAAAAGCAGTATACCTAAATCTTCTCCATTTTAATTTCACAGTCGCCCGCGCCAGTATCCTTCCCTCACGAAGTTCGTTTCGCCAAGACGCGTACTCTCACTTCAGCGACAATCAACCAGACAACAGTACATACACCATGGAGCTACTGATAGCTCAGGACGGGGCCGCTAAGGCCTACAACGGAGAGCTTCTGACACCGCCATCCTCCCCAGACCATACAGCCAAAGAAGAGGAAACGAACAAATTAGTGGCAGCGGGTGACTCGGAAGAGCTCAAGTGTTAGTTTTTACTTGTGGTAGCCTACCACTCGTCCGCGGATGGGCAGAAAGTATTAGCACAGTGGTGGCAGCGGGTGGGTTGGAGTTCTGGGTTCTGTTTCTCAGTTATGGTGTCATTCGTCTAGTCATTTCTGCATTCGTCACGGGTAAATGATGAACAAATAAAGGGAATGACCCCTCTCTGGGGGCTCTTGAACTTAAAGTAAATCTTTTAGTTAAGAAAGGGGTTTAGCCTGTCATTTCTTTCAGCGCCGGTCACAGTTAAATTCAGAAAAATTGAAAGGACCGACGAAGAAGATACTTGGTTGTTGTATTTTTCTTTTTGTCATATCTATTAACATGCAGGGGGATAAAAACTGTTCGTAATCGAAGATAATGATCTGAGCATATAGATTTTGTGGTATTTTGAAACAGAATTTAGTTGTCTTTTCACGATTTTGCGTAATATCTCCCATGCGACGATGAACACTTTTCCTTCAGAAACAGAAGTGATATTATTTCTAAACTTCAGCCAACCTTATCCATCCAAGCTCAATCTAATGCTCAGTCACACCTCATTCTCTTTTGGTACCAAACGGTGTATTTTCAATGTATAAAGCTTTAAGATAATTATTTAATATGAACATTTACATATGGGATAAAGTGCGCAATATAGTGATTGTTTATCTTTGAATATATAAAAGTATATAAACGTGAAGTTGTTTTTTATCATGTATACATCATAAATGTCGTCTTGGGCTGTTCTTATCATCGTCATCATCGTTGTTATCTTTCTGTTATAAATGTTGTATTAAGAACGTTAAAGTATGATAGAATACTGTTTAACTTATCTTTTATTTATTTATTTTATTTATTTATTATTATTATTATTATTTTTTTTTTTTTTTGTAGAAACTGTCGCAATACTTATGTCGTCCATGTAAATTGTATTTACCATGATGTTGTTTTGTTACAGTGGCCATGTGTGCCATTGGGTTTTAAAGTATGTTCCACAATTTGTTTTAAAACGGGTGACTGGACTGAACTGAGGTCTGGGGTTTATGCTGAAGAGTGTGTGTGAGGGGGGAAATGGGTCCCAAGATCGGTATATCTGTATGCTTTATGGAAGTGTGATTCCGTGCGTGCGTGCGTGCTTGGTGCGTGCGTGCGTGTTTGGTGTGTGCGCGTGTGTGTGTGCGTGTATGTATAGGGCGGGCGTGGAGTGTTTAGCACAAATTCAAAAACGGACAGCACCAAGAAAGATGCCAGATGTGGTGCATATTTGTACATTGCAGTCTTGTAACTTATTAAAATATACATAATTTTAATTGACTGTTTTTTGTTGTTTTATGCTTTTAAAATGGCTTTCAATATGAACATAAGCTAATGTCCATAATCATTTAAAATTCATCATCAGGATTGCCAATATGCATGTTACAGTATCAAAATTTTCGTTTTTTAACTTTTTGTCAATAAGTTAATAACGCGTACATGAAAATGAAAGAATCCACCTAAGTAAAAAGACAGCAGAATATACATAGTAGACTAACCAAAACTGAAACACGAAAATTATGTTTGTATAATGTTTGCCGCCATTACATTTTGAACATCGTCGAACGTATCAAATTACATTTCTTTTAGGTTATGTTTGTCCTTTTCTTGAAGGTGAAAACAATTTTTGGTTGTACGTAAAAGCAAATTCCAATTATTTTTTTCTGCTGAGGTGTTTTATTCGCAAGATAATCTATTTCCATTAGTCGAAACTCTATGTACATAAATTGATTATCGACTTTATGATAAAAGAGAAACAATATTTCGAATAATATTCAAGCAATAAATGCTTTATCATATTCAAAAGAATACGTTTACAACAAGATTGGAATAGAAAGACATACAGATAAATAAGACCATAAATAAGACTTTAATAAAATCAGTAGCCCATTATGTCTATAGTCATGTATTGTAGCAATGCTCGCTCAAATGTGACATCGATATTGCTTTGTAGGCCTATAACTTCGTTTCTTAAAACAAAACAAATTCAGATATCTAAAAACATAAACAAACACGTTATTTTCCTCACAGATTTATAAAAATAATGAAAGAGTGGGTTTTACCAGAAATGTGTCACAGACAAGTATAACTGTTCAACATGCAAGGTGCGACAAACGGGTTGTCCACGCTTGAAACATCAGCACCGGTGACGTAACTTGAAAATGTTTGAGAGAAATTCGGCAAAGCATATACATTTTCCATAGACGTCAGTCCATCATGGGGCGATCTTAGTGTCGCCATAGCGTTCCCAACTTGCCCCATATTTGAAAAAGCACCAGATAATTCTTGTTGATATCCGTACGGTTCGTTGTAATTAGGGTCCATAAAAATTGTCCCATTATAACTACTGGCATATGGCTGGTCCCAGCTTTGTAGACGATAGTCCGTTCGACTGGATATTGGCAACAATGGCGATATCGGTGGGGATGATGTCGAAGAGGTCTCTCGCTGAGGACTACCAGAGGAACTATGCTGGCTTGACCCACAACTGGACGGCCGGGCAAGGCCATCTTGACCGCCTATAATGTCATGAATGTCTTCATGCGTAAAATATGGCGGGTCTAGTGTTGTCTGTTGACAGGTGTAGACACCGTTGGCTACTGTCTCCAGTTGGGACTGATATGAATAGTTCTGAAGAGCATTCTCTATGTAATATGCCGTGTAGGACTGCTGCTCCAGAAGCTTTGCTGGCTCGGTAAAAAAAGACGGCGGTAGTTTTCTATTCTTCAACGGAACGCGGTTCGATCTACAGCTTCCTTTGACTAATTTAGCCTGCGGATCCGCACAACACTGTTTGTGTAACGTCCGTGGATCAAACAGCGCCTGTAAGGATTTATGTTGGATTCCGAAATAAGAGGTCTCCTTCCTGGTGGGTTTAGACACCCTGCCACCGTGTATCACAGCCGTTTCGGTGTCATAGGACCCGTTGCTTTTCTTCAGTTGTTTCTGCAGGTATTTTCTGTGATTGACCTTACGTTTGGATTTCCCGCATTTGTCCAAGGCTAACTTGATGTTGCTGGAGGCGATGTCCACGAAGCTCAGTAACTGCTGGCCAGTTTCACCGCCGCCACTTCGATCTGCTGTCGCCATGCCTCGAGAAAATGTTTAAAAAACGGGATATTTCAGAATCCCAAGTGTCTTGTTTTCTTTTTGCCTGAGAGGTGTTTTATGGTGTATTCTTAATGAACATCTATGTCGCGTGTTGGTCAACGACTGAGCTGGTTCATCAAAACAATCCAATACAGTTCTGTAGCGAAACGTCCAGTAATAAATCGGTAACCTTATTAGCTCAGTGTGTCACGGATCTGGATGACTACAGTTAATTTGACCTGTACTAAGTCGTTTTTAAACTGACAAGTATGTAAATTAAGCAGCAGCGCGCCTCGTGCACTTGGTAACCCCTCTCCACTACGCGCATGACAGTAGTGCGGTGCGAGCTGACAGTCTGATTATACTCAATCCATTGAAATGCTAAAGTGTTACAGAAATTTATGTCCTTGACTGAAAAGAATGTGATTTATAAGAACGCTGAAGTCTTTTCTGTTGATCATTTTAATATTATCAAGAGCAGTTAATAGTGGTAGTCATATTTTATTAGACACGGTCCGCTAGTTTGGCGAATTTTGAATTTAATATAAGAGAGATTTATTATCATGTATGAATGTTTGACCTCATAAGACCTAAAGAATACAGTTTTGCCCTTGTCCAAAGCTAAACATCTTTAAGTCAACACACTCTGGTGACGTTTGAGAGAGTAGTACTGTCAATCCCGTAGGCTTCTATGTGCGTTTATGACGCATTTTAAAAGAGACAAGTTAGGATTGTCAGATTTTTAAGATTATGTTTTCAAACTTTTGTGATAAACTACCATTCATTAATTCTACAGATGTTTTATCACTTTGGGTTTTGCGTGTGCTTATTTTGTTTCCGAGATAAAAACGCGCATAATTTTTTAGTAAATCAATATCAATATAACCTGAATACAAACGTGAAAGTATAACATATGCGATGTAAAATTTGTTACCAAATAAGCGGTATTTTGGCTGTGATGCTTGAAATTAATTCAGGGGCAAAGTGTAATTTTTACACAGTTCTTTGAACCTAAACTCCATGTATTTAGTAGTGTTTACATAAAAACTTCTGCAACATTTCTTAAAATAGAGGAAACAGACGGTGTGACACTTACGCACCTAATAGCTATACATATGTGGTTTTTCTGACAAATAATCGTCATTTAATGATTTTGCCTTAATGAAATGCCGGAAGTATGCTGTTTGTTGCCATTTACTCGCTTTCAAATGGCGCATTAAGAAAGTTAAAGCTTACAGGAATGATCCTCCAACCGTATCTTGTCACTATCTAGATCGATTCCTCTACTGTACCTGTAGCCGAAAAGAGATCAAGTATTTAACTTTGATAAGATTGCGTTTGGTAGGTATTGTACTTGTAGTATAATAGGAACCTTTTCGCCCAGGGACTATACCTGTGTACATGTATGCACTCGTGTATTATGAATAGCGAGTATGCAGCACACAATACAGAAACCTTTTTTTCCATGACTTTATTACATTTGAGTCAAACATTAGGCACAATGACAGTTAAGCTATTTCTCAAATTGCCATGTAAGAAATCCAAGTCTATGTTATTGTATTTGATGTGCAATGCGTCATCTCTCTCAATGCCATATTGCATGTACGTCGGGTTTGTAATAACGATGTGTAGACCCTGGATGTTTACCATGAAAATGGCCACTTGCTAATATTATTGATGTAAACTAGATTTGTTGATTACTGATTACCACAAAAACTAAGAAGCATGCATTCCTGTCGACTTAAATTGCAGTTAATTCAAATGCGGATAGCCTCCCACGCTGTCAAAATAGGGGGCAACGAGTGTGCTCTTTTTCTCGGGGCACATTTTCTGAGAATTGCCCAAACCCAAAATGAAATAAGAATTTGATGACCTCGAACTACGCAATGTTTTTATCTGCCTGCGTTATTCTGAACATGTTGGTGTTAATTAAATGCTAATTGAACAATAGGATTTTGGTACCTTCACCAACGAAGGGTGACAATTCATGCGGAAAAGTGATTCGTGATTGGATTTCTTTGTACCTGAAGTTTACAGACAGTAAATATCGAAAAAAATTAAAATTACACTTATTTTAAAATATCGAGAAATTTTAACATATTAAAAATGCCGTTTTTCTCAAATGATGAGATATGATATTAACCTTAGGTGCTCTTATTCTACCTCACGGACCTACAAGGAAACCTCGCTTACATTTTGCAATTGATCGATGGTTACAAGGCCTCCACAGAGGGCGCGGTCATATGCTGGAGAATAATTTTTACCATACTGTATACGGATTATAGTCCAGTTAAAGGGATAATAACTCTTCGTTTTGGCCAAAAAATTAATTTTCCTGGAGTAAACAACAATTTTCCCATACTTACAAATGGTTAATGATTCCATTTTTACATTCAAAATTAGTCGCTGGTGTTTTTCTAAAAAGTTTGTTTCTTTGTTATAATCTTTTAAGAGATTATAACAGAGTATAGCCATCAATGGAGGACACGTGGTCTAAAGACAAGCTCAGATATCAGAATAATAGCTATAACTGCTGTTTTTGTGGTAAAACAGAATATATTATATTTCTATTAGTTGTTCACAATGTTTTTATTGTGAAATATAGATCTCATACGAAGAATTATTATCCCTCTAACTCTTGGATCACAATGGAAATAAGTGTTTTTACTTTCTTATCTCATCCATGTATTTATCATGTCTTTTTATATATTTCGTATATAATTCACATTTTAAGAATGCATAAAGTTAAACATAGCATATCATAACTTGATAGTTCTTGACAGAGTAGACACAGGATGAATTAATGATTGGTTAAATTGAGAGTCGATCAGTAAATAAAACGTTTGGTCAACTTGAACAAAAGGTGTCCGCAGAGATTCAACTGAATACTTTTTTCAACAGACAAAAAACTTTTAAATAAGGGGAGTCTTTTGATTCAGTCTGTTATTATCACCTATTTCTAAATTTATGGCATCATATTTGTCTAGTGTATATCATAATGAGCTCTCGTAAATCACACCCTTATATCGCACCATTTCGGTACAGTGACGAAATAAGTCATTCTGAGTGAATGATACGTTTCATTTAAATTGCAAACGAAGAAAATAATCATAAGCTATCTTATATAAAACTAGGTACAGTGCCATACGAGGAGATAACTACTGTACCAACAGTATTTGCTGTCGATATCGCCTTGGTTTGAATCTGTATATATAGGAACGTCTTTCTACGGGCTCTGAATTTTTGTTTTTAAATTTCCTAAGGAATCAATGAAATTTTAAAGGACCTGCATGTGAACAGTGATGATAGGCTATTCTTCTCAGGCTGCACTCAGAAAGCGCAGACCTCCACCAAGACAAATAATTCACGATTAATTAATCAATTGATCATCATTAAAGTGTTACCATTTTTAAGTGAGCCCGTTTTTGGCCAATCCTTAAAATTTTATCAAAGTCCAACTTTATGAGTTAGGCTGGCGACGAACAAACAGACAAACAGACGGGGGCCAGGGGATGAAAAGACTGCCTCGGCGGAGGTAATGAAAGCGTATGTTGTATTTCTTTAAGCGTTTTTGCCACTATTCAGGAAGAGCACAGGATACACAGACACCTCTGATACCGACAATTGATCACAAGGGTCATTTTATTGAATAAGATCATTTGTACAGCGATCGAAATCATGACTTTCTAAAATGAATTGGTTGGATCGTCGATTTATCTTTCTCTCTGATCAATTTCAATTTTTTCCCTAACTTTTCCTTTTGCTCTACTTGAGCTATAGGGGGCGGAGAGGCAAATTGCTCCTGTTTAAAGAAAAATAAAGTAGTTACAGGTTCCCTTCGTGACACTGCCCGACTTGCTCTTGACCGTCTTTTTCCCCAACCAAGGCGAACTTTTTTGCCTATTTCATAACAAGATTGTTGAAAGTTTGCCTTTTCAAAGTTTCCCTCCCCTCCCCATTTGTTGAGTTACCGGCTTCTCAGGGACGTGACATTGCTATCAACTGCGGTTTCACCTCACGGGATTAACAATTCAACAATATGAATGAATAATGAAATAATAATCTGCCACTTATTCAACGCTGACAATATATTCAACATAACAAAAAGATGGCGATAATCAGATCGTTTCCTTATTCCGCCCGTTATTTAAAATATATTTTCCAAAAATAATTTTGCAAAGACGAGCCTTTGAAGGAGACTGAACTTTATCGAGGACAAACATGTTTTGTACTTTTGTGATCGCACCGACTTAAACGCAAAGCATGGACTGTAAACAATTCCACAGTGCGAGATCGAGATTTTTTGTTCTTAATAAAGCTCGTCTTACAGGGGAAATCCGTTCAGTATTGAACAAGTTTGTTGCAATTTATTTCAACACGAGAAAACGTGTGTGCGCAGTTAAATAAGAGCACGCGAAAGCTTTAGAGAGAGAGACGGAACGAAGAAAATGGGCCTATATTTTTTATTCATGATATCTATATAATTCAATTTCCTTTATCCAGTCCCAAGAAGTCCACGAGACAATTTCTACGCCGTTGTGGCATGACATTGGGAAACTATCATCTGTACATACATAATATTAATAATAATTACTGATATACATACAAGTACAATGTATCTACAAAACGGCAGAATCTGTACAATCTTCATAATTGAGCCAAGACACAAGAACACCAGACGCAATTTCACCGTAAATTGATAGGTTGTTCAATATGATCAAATAAAACAATTTAAGTGAAAGACGTATCCCCAAGATGTCTACATTATCGTACAGTATCGGGCAGTCCCGGCGAAAGTGCTAGTGCACTGGAAAACTCCATTTCAATAGGCAAAAATGTCATAAGGAACCCTGTATCTGAATGGTGAAAAAAAAATAAAAAATTATAACATTCTCTGACGGTAACCAACCAAAGATTGACAAGACATTCCCTCTGCATCGCTGGGGAAATCTTTGGATTACGGCGGTGTGGGTACCTTACTGGTATTGCATTTGGGTCACACCTGTAATAACTGAACTTCCACAATCAGCAGCCTATCTTTTAGACTAGTACACGAATACTGGAATTGCAGCACCTCTTACCCTATTATATAAAAATACTAATGATCAGATCTTAATTAGATTGCAGAAAACGTGTTTTTGAATGGTGGAATAAATAAATCAGTGAAATATCAATGTTTAAAAATTATATTACGTTTGTAGAAATATTACCCTATATATTTCATATAATAATAATAATAATAATAATGATAATAATAATAATTTACACAAGCTCAAATATCATCAACCAAACTCAACATATTGTTTTATTTTCTTGCAATCAATATATCTTTTAAGTTATTTTTGCAGATAATATGACCTGCAAAGTCTGAATAATGTCATTCATTTCTTGAATAAAATTAATTTTTGATAGAAACTGGGTTGATTTCAAAAGATAAATCCATGAATTTCTTTTCAAAAGATAAATCCATGAATTTCTTTTGTTAGTTTAAATATGCAAAACATGTCAGACACGTATATTATAATAATGAAAAAAATTAATTAGGTTTAAAAACAAGATTTGTTGTAAATGAAAATTAATGGGTATTAACCTAAAGGTAACCCAACATTTGGGAACTTCAGATCAAAAGAAGTCAGCCCATTGAGATTTTAAGCCATTTCACAATAATTCCTAACTACAATTTCAAACACTTTTGCCTGAATAAATTAATACAAACATATTACAGCAAGGAGATCCATCAATTCTTTTAAATAAATGTTTGCAACACTTGTATGAGAAATTCAAATGAGTAAAATGAAAATACAAACTCAAAAGTGTCTACAGTGTATGAATGTGACAGAACAACAGCCAACACACTTCCCTGACCCTGCAATTGTGGCGACCAGAGAGGTACAAACTTGGGATAGAAACGCTTGGGAATAGATGGTGTTCAATTTAGGCATCCAATGCAAAATGCTGCCCAAAGACATCTTAATAAAATGCCTTAAATCAAAAAGACACTCTTCATAAATTTACCTTGATAAGAAAAGACTATGAATGTTCGAGTTCTCCCTCAAGAAAAACAACATTTGAGCTGCACTAATGTCCCTAACACAAAGTACCTCCATAATAACAAATTTATATAGTGTCCTGATATAAGCAGAAAGACCAGTTTTCTATGAACTATCCAACACTTTCAGTGTCCTCATACAAGTACTTAGCACAGTAGCCAAATTAGTGGCCTGCCGCATTAAATGTTTCATATTAGGATCTCCCAGAGGCTTACCAGCAGCCACTGAGGCAGCATTCAAGGTACTTCTATAAGCTTTGGCCACATCTATAACCTTTGACCCCAGGTTATTTACAAGGTCAATTGAGGTCAAGGTCATCAAGGTCACCAGTGTGCTACTTGCTACATTAGCTAATACATTCATACTGCTGTTCACTCGAGCAATTAGTTTATCCTTAGATTGTGTGGCACTACTGACCAGCAGTTTGGACTCAGTGACAAAGTGCCTGGCTTGCAATAACAAGTTGTCCTTTGCCTCCAGGAATTGACCTTCAGTGTGACCTTCACCTGGATCACTGTTGACCTTACAAAGCACCTGTTCCAATACAGTAATCAAGGTGTCCACATCCTCATCAGCCAAGGTAAAGGCAGAGTCCCCACCATACGTCCTGGTGGTGATCTTATCACACACAGCACTGAAACCAGCATCTCCGACTGCAAGTTCCTCCTCCTCATTTTCACAGTGTTCAGAATTGAGGGTATTGGACTCGATCTCAGCAAACATGACTTTCTTTGGTGATTTTCCATTGCCATTCCCTTCCACAGCCTTTGTCTGCGGTGTTGTGGTCTTCATGATACCTTTTACAAGGGGTTCTATGACTGGACTGTCCCACAGATCTTCCACATCTTCTTTAACCTCTTCCTCTACATGGTTGGCCTTCATAGGGCCAGACTTTGGAGAAATGTCTGCATTCTATAATGAAATAATATCAGATGAATTAGATGATGCAGCAGCTGAATGAAATATGTTAGTAAAAGCGGTCTTCTAATAATAAACATATACTGTGGCCATATACACTGTGCATTACTATAAATTTAGGACAAAAAACAATTACCTTTGCTATTTTTCACATTCTGTACCCAAATTTTCACACATATCTCGCATACATTTAGCAAAAAGATCAGAAATAATATGGCAAACACATTATTAGAATAAATATTATTGAGGGTCTGACTCATTTAAAGTTTTGGGACATTTGTACTTATTAATGTTAAAATGAATACTAGTAAACTATATTTAACAAAACCATTAAAACCTTTACTGCAAACAAAGGGAAGAATAAGAACATCTAATCAAAAATTCACACATGCAGCGAGACATATTTATATTATGTCTATTCAAATATATACTCAGTTCAAAGTAAATAACACCATTCTTCTACTGGGGCCAGATATGATCATTTATCAAAAAGTTCCCCACAAACAGTCTTAGAGAAGTGAAATATTACAGAAAACTGCCATCCCCTTGTACTAATAACCATATAACACCAATAACCATGTATGTTTATAAGGATTATGGAGATCAAAATGACCACAAGAATAGGAAAATACATATTTTAAAAACCTTTATGTTTGCACAGCATAATAGATATGTCATATTAGAGATGTGATATAGATGGATATGAAGGACTGTTGGCTCTATCGTGAATTCATTATCATCAGGGGGGAAAAAAACGAGATACCAGAGTGTGTATGTGTGTGTGTGTGTGTGTGTGTGTGTGTGAGTGTGTGTGCATGTAAATATATACATGCATATGTGTGTGTAAGGGAGAGGCATAAGCATAATGCCTAAATTAGTTTTGGGAAGAGTAATTAAAATAAAAAAAAATCTCTCTTCTCCTTTAGAAATGAGCATCTATTAAAAAAGGAAATACCACTGTCAAGTTATTAACAAATAGAGTGGAATGACTACTGATATAAGTCAAAAACTGCGTTTACTACATTTTTGATTTTTAATAGGAGCAAAAAAATCACAAATTGTCCTTAGGGAAGCAGCACATAAAAACTGAAATAATATTTATGACTGGTGATATTTTATGTCCTTGAAACACACCCATTTCCACTTGAATACTTAAGCTTTGTTATACAACAGTTTTAACTAGGTGAATGTAAATCCAGCAAACTATTATTCTACATACTGGCCTAAGGTGAGACTGCTGATGATTCAAGTCTTGTGGTTTACCTCACTGATTTCTTTACAATATGGTGCCAACCCTCTAGGTTTGCTTTCTATGATGGCATCTCAAAACACAGTGGATATTTTTGCTTCATGGATGAATAGCACCAAACTTTCTCCAGGACTTAATGTCTCTAAAGTCTTCTTTTAAATTTTTATCTAATAAATTCTAATGACTTTTGAAAAAAATCACAAAATGCTTACATCATGGTCTCATTGGGGAAGGTCATACATTTTTATCCTCATATTATTATATAAACTTATAAACAAGAATAAGTATTAATAGCAGTCTTCATGACTTATTTGATTTGATTGATCTCACCTGTCTTTTCATGTCCCCCACTGGTCTCAAGTTACTCCTCACTAGAGGCATGGCACTCTTCAGGGCAGGCACTGGCTTCCCTGGGGTGTCCCCCTCACTGTCGGAGCCCTGGGACCCCGCGGAGTCCAGTTTTAAGGAGGTCTGCCTCTTCACTGGACTTGATGACCTTGGGGAAATGGTACCTTTATCGGAGTCCGACGCACTGAAGGTACTGGATCTCAGCACCTTCTGACGTCCTGCTGGAGACTGAAATGAGGACTCCTGGGAAGAAACGGTGGTCGAGCCTGGACGATTTTTTTTCAGAAGATCGCTGGGGCGGACATTAACTTCACTACCCTGTTCAAATAAAATGTCTGGCTTACTGAAATTCCCTTTATCCCCCTCTGATTCTTGTACTGTGGCATCAACCTTGTCTTTTCCAGAGGACTCTGCTGCAACAGTAAGCCTCTTTTTCAAATCATCAGGTTTGTTAGCCACAGCAGGTTTGGCAAAAGGAGATGGCTTGCTTTCTGAGGCAGGGCTTTTGTTGGGACTCACAGATGGCTTTGACTCAAAAGATTTTTTTATGGAAAACACAGATGATACCTTTGCTGGAGCAATTTCGTCTGGGTGGTCATGTGACTTTGGTGCCAAGACAGGCTCATCTGAGTCTAAAATAATAATATCTACATCTGCTCCAGGGGAATATGGCAGTTTTGGTTCATTCATAACCTCGGAATCTTTATCTTTTGGTAAAATTATTTTGGGCGGAGATGGCTGGTTGCGTTTCAGAGACCTTTTTAGTTCAAAGGCCAAAGCTAACGAGGACACAGACCTGTGTTCCTCTGTGTCAGTGTTTAAGGTAGGATGACTGCCATACCTCTTAACTGATGAGGTTTCATGAACATTTTCACCACCTGTCTGTTGAGTTTTTTCCATAGACTCTATGTGATGAAAAGATCCCAATGCACTGTCTTTAAGCTGTTCTTTATGATCTGATTTGAACTCAATTTGTTTTTTGATATGGCCAACATGACTCGCTGTTTTTTCTCCATTTTGATTTGGTCTCACCTCCAGAGAACATTCAGATGAATCAGAGCCAAATGAAAGATCATGGTGATTGAAAGAATCGGTCAGATCTTTAACGTGTTTAACATTTTGCTCATCACTAAGGTCAGTCTCAAATCTGTGCCTCGTCTCCGAAACTGGTGTTGTTTTCTCTGCCATATTAACATCCTGTGTTTCACTATGGGGAGATCCAGAAGTTTTAAACTTTGATATAAGGTTTTTCACGCCAGCAGAATTGACATTATCAACTGTACTTTTAATTTCAGACTCTCCATGCTTAAAATCATCAAAGTTTCCAGAAAATCTTTTCACTGCATCTTTCACCCCACCAGGCTTAGCAGATGTTTCAGGTTTTTGGTCTGTCAGACTGGAACTGCTCCTCCGAGGGGGAGGAGGAGGGGGAACTTTTCCTTTGCCTTTCAAAGTTGGTTTTGGTGCTAGAGGTGGTGGAGTTTTTGCTGGTTTCTGTGGGATACTTTCAGCACTGTCCTTTTCAATGATCAATATTTCAGGGGTACTATCTGAATGTAAAGGAGGTAGAGATGCTAGGTCAAGCACAATTTCCTCTGCCACACTTGGCTCCTCTTGCTCTGTGATATGTGGAGGTGCAATAAAAAGTTCTGCTGAAGAATCTAAAGCAGGTTCTTCAACTCTAATATTGCCCTCAATCACAACTTCCTCTGGCAATGTTGCATCAGGGATCACATCTTCCTTTCCAGGGAGTACAACAGGACTTTGCATACATTCACTTTCAGCTGCATCTTCTGCAAGTAATTTATTAATAGTCTCAGAACTCTCACTAGTGGAGGAAGTGGCTGCCAATGTCAAAGTATCATCGCTATCTTCTCCCTCATCTTCCTTTAGTGCATTAAATGCCATCACAGCAGCTGCCAACTCATCAATATCATTATGATCTTCACCACCTCCTGTCCCAGATGAAGAGAATCCAGCAAAACTCAAAGGTCGCTTTAAGACTTGGGATGGTGCTGTCTTGGAGCCAGTGCTGCTCTCTGATGTCTGACGTTCAGGTGGAGCAGGTGGTGGCACCTTAGGACGTTGCACTCGACCCGAATGTTTCGGAGAGTCCTGAGGAATGAATGAAGTACTGCCACTTCCATGTACCTCACCACCAGCAAAAGACTTGGGTCTGGCCCCTTTGCCAAAAGTGAGAAAGTTTTGTGAAGTTTGTTGCTGTTCTGTGTAACTGCTCTGCCTGGTCACAACTATAGTGTCTACAGCAGCAGGAGGGGTATATACTGAGGCAGACCCAGGGGTTGATGGGTGTGCCCCAGGGGGTGGTAATTTAAGATCCCCAGGTGTTTGAGGCACAGGGTGTGGCAATGCAGGAGGTGGAGGAACCATTAGTGAAGCAAACTCATCCTCAAGTGTCTGGAAAGTTTCCAAGTGAAATTCTGCTTCATCAGTTAAAGTGTCAGATTTGGGAGATTCTACCAATATGTCATCAATGTTGGAAGTCTCCAACTCCTCAAAGTCATTGATGTCAGTTAAAGTGTGCGGATCATCAGCAAACTCTTCGGGAGGTGGAGGTACAGTTAATCGTGCAATGAGTGTGTCAATGTCTTCATCCATAGGAACTGTAACTTCTACATTAGCCATGTGGCTCCCTCTATGGGAGCGTGTTCCTCCAGCACCACGTTCTGACAGCACATGTATGCTAGAGAAGTCCACATTGTCAGAAATAGTTTCATTTCCTGAGTCACTTTCACTTTCTATTCCACTTTCCTTTTCTTGGTTGTCTTCACCTATGAAAATTAAATTTTAAAGTTATAAAATGCATTCAGGCCTTTGAACAGTTATACAATTTCAAATCAGGTTCAATCAATAAGAATTAAATTCTTTAGAAACTATTTCTATTTAAAATGTATAACAATTTTGTTTTGAGAATAAAATTCAAACAAGTTTTCAAATGCCTTTGTTCAACCTTCCTCTTTTTCTTTAAATGAAATAATTCTGTGGTCATCACCACCCCTCACCTGCAGCCAAGGCATCAATGGCAGCAATCTGAACCTGGAAAGCCTCGTCCTGCAGGGAGAGGGCATTGAACCGCTTCTGAATAGGTGAAGGAAGATCTATCACGGACACTGGAATATCATCATCTACACCATGCTGCTCTTGTGAGCTAGCATGAGTGTCTACCTCAATGGCTGTGTTGTCTACATGGTCTACAGTTTTTGATGAGTCTGCATTGCCATTATTACTGCTACTTTTGCTGTCTCCTTTGGAGGTTGACGCCATAAGGGTGCTGCTATGGTGAAACTGGTCAGGTGGGGGAGGAAGACCTGCCTCCTCCTCCGAGGTCATTTTACGTTGGACTTCTGGGGTGGGAGGAGGTGGAATTAATGTCAAATCTGGAAAATGTGAGAAAAAAAATACTGAAATAGGTAGATACACAGCTTAACTGATTGAATATCATCTAGTTCTCTCAATGAAACATATAAGGAAGGTTTTTAACAACATGTATAAAAATCAATTAAATGAATATATCTTAAAAGCATGGGACAGATATGACAATCTATGGCAGTAAAGAAGCTTTCCTCACAATAAAACACTTATTTTGTGAATTCAGCGACATAAAAAGTATACAATCAGCAAGAGATAAGTTCAGAATGCAAATTCTAAGTATGGCATGTCAAAGGGAATTCATGAAAATAAAAACATGCTAACTACAAAAGAATTTCTGCCCAAATTGGTCAACAGTGGTATACTTGTTCAGCTTAATGATGTGCAGCGGACAGGAAGAGATTGTGCTAGAGGTGCATTCTCAACTGTGGTAGGTGTGGATTAAAAACCATGGAAAGGAATCTTATGTTAAACTTGTAGGCTCAAATAAGAACTCTGGATGCAGGACATTGAACTAGACTCCTCTAAAATTTTACTAGAGGTCTCATTTTTAGATTACGAATTAGTAAAACTGTTTGGAATCAACACTCTAACATGATAGTCTAAAACATTCAATCTTGATACATTTGTAATTCAAGATGCACAAAATTACTCATTCAAGTCATCATAGCAATCAGTTTTAATACGTAATAACAAAATTATTTCAACATTTGTGTGAGGTCTTTAAGCTGCTCTATACAGCTTCAGGGAGTCCAATCAAGGCAACATGGTTAGTAGGAAAAAAAACAATAACAATATAACATTCATCCTACCAAATAAAAATCAAATTGAACATTATCCCACAAGGAATTTGCTGTAAAATTATCATAAATTATCACAATTACCAGGCATGTCATAGGGGAATTTCAAAAGCAGTAGATCGCAGCAGAATTCTCACAAATCTGATTTGAATCTGAATACAAATTGACACAAAACTGATACAAATTACAATACTAATTGAGAAGCTAATCTTTGCAGTGTGGCCGCCAACTGACATGCCTGCATTATAATAAGCAAGCCCTATGGGGATCATCTGGGACAGTGAGATGTGATGGAGAGTGGGGTCAGAAATAATGGTAGACTATTGAATGTGATGCTACAATGCCAAAAAAATCTGACGGAATTTATCCACAAATATTTTTTTTTGGTTGTTTTCTTCTAATTTATGCCAAATTACAATCTATCGCAACACAGTACAAATTCACCATGTTTTGTGCATCACTTAAGTAATAAAATGCTTTCTAAGACAACATTTTTCTCAATGCAAGGGAAGTTTTGGGCTATCTCAGATGATCCCCATTGTAAAGAAGAAAGAAAATCAGAACAAATTATGGAGAAATAACATGGGAAAGGTGGGGGGCATGATCAGCAGGGGGTGAATCATTCTGCAGAGGCTGGAATCACTTACCACACAGAATGAGTGTGTTCAGATAAGACTGAAATAACATCAAGAGTGGACAACTAAAAATATAGCAACAAAAGGGGAAATGACTGAGCGTATCTACTAGAAAGCTTTTCAGAATCAAGACATAGAAATTGTATTCAAACTTTAAGAATTAAAATTCTAGTTATGTGAACTGGGTCTTCTGTTTTACTTAAATCCTAGCAACAGAGAGCTTTTTTTTCTTTTCTTATGGTGTAATACACTTATTCTTAAATAAATTAACAGAACTAACCCATATTGTCAAAAATCTAGAAGATAAAAATCAGCACTGATGAAAATATATTTAAAAAAAAAAATACACACACCAAAACAAACTTGGTCAGTTTACACTTGTGAGGCAAAAACCACAGCCCTCAATTTACCTCTCAAAACTTACAATCAAATTTCCTACATTCTAGGAACCCCCACACACTTCCCCCATGTGTTGGGTTAACAAATAGTTTTTCCAATAATTCCTCATCAATCCATTCACACTGCAGGATACTGACACCGAGCAGTGACTAGTCTACAACACATACCTATTAAATCAGGATCAAGGTAGAGTCCACCGTCACAGAACATAGAGGGATGGTAGGTGGGGTCTTCTGGAGGAAACTGATCTGGACTATGGAGACCAAAACTACTGGCCACAGCACTAAAGTCTACATCGCCATGATCCGAGCTAGTCTGGCCTTTCAGGGTGAAGAAATAAAGAAAAAACAAAGGATAAATAAAATCACTACACATTTACAGTAAGGTATGACAATGTGTAACAAGTAAAAGAAAATTAAAATTAATCGTTATGTTCCAAACTCTGATCAAAATTAACCAAAGAGCAGGAAGTAACATCCATTGAGTGTTAGATACAATGACATAAAACTACAATGAAACAGTTGTGAATATTATACATATCAAAGGATTAAAGCATAAACAACAACCATAAAATAAGATGAAAAACAAAGGTGGCAAATGAAAATCATATGATACACTTAAATAAACTGTTATCCTATAACTGTGATATACAGTTCAGGAGCAGGTTGCTGTTGTAAACCATCCATACTGTCACCAAAATCAGTGCCCCTTGATCACTATTAAACTTACTTGTCTCTCCTGCGTCATCAACCTCGTCATCTTCATCTTCATCTTCATCCTGGAACCAAGAGGCCGGGAGGCCAGGATGCTGCTTCTTGTGAGTCAGTTTAATGGAATCTTTGCCTAACACAAGCTTAGCTAAAGCGTCATATTCATTGGCACTAGTATTGGAGTCTGAGTCAACTTGATTCACATTTTCAAGGTCATATACATCACTGTCCTTGACCTTGTTGTTTGCAGCCTTGGTGGTTGCCATAGCAACCATGTCCTGCAGCAATGAATGCAACTGGGCAGCAGAGCCAGATTTGTTCTTCGAATGTGGTAACGTTCTCTGTTTGTTCAATGTGCCTTCTGATTGGCTGCGATTTATCACAGAGTTTATGGAGCTTGAGGAACCACTGCTGTCTGTAGACAGGTTTCCATTCATTCCATCGCCAGACATAAAATGAGTCAGGGCTGCCCTTCCTTGAGCATTTTCAGATATGTGTTGAGATTCATCCAGCTCCTGAACATTAAAAAATATAAATTTTATTTCTTTAAAAATTTACCATATCAGTGATTGTTTTCCCAAAATTTCCAATACTCATTAAATTATATAATTTCCCCCATCCCCTCCTTAAAAAAAGATCACAAAATATCAAAACAGATTTTCACTCACATTTAGTCCTAGCTCCTCCTTCAACCTGTCAATCATCTCCAGGTTCTCCTGATAAGATGGCGGTCCCTTTGACAGGTCAGCTATCCTCTCATTGTCCTGGGTGGTGTGGGGCGTGTCCACCTGAGAGGCCAGGTCATCTGGATAGTTCCACCTTGCTGCTACCACCTTGTGGATGCTCTCATATTTAGGAGCTGGAACAAATTACAAGGAAACTTGAACTGAGAAGACTATACAGCATTTACCATATCACAAAAAGATCTTAGTTTTCAATAGAACAATTTTTTCCAGGCTTGGTCAGTCATTGATTTTCTACACCAAGTTTCATAAATTAAGAGTATCTTTGTATCTTTAAGAGTAACAAGTTTAGTAAGACTTTAATTTTGAATGCCTGGTTAAGTTAAGTTTACCCCCCTCAAGCATGGTTAAATATGTACGCTCAATTCATTTAGAGTGATACTGAAAATGAACTACCTCTCAAATTACAACCTAGTAAATTACTGTTATTTTTTAAAAAACAACTACCAAACTTGATCCAAAGCTGTCTTCCTCACTACTCACCCTCCGTATTCCCTATCCCATTGACCGTGATGACCCCACTGACCAGGGCTTTACTTGGGTCCACCTGGACATGGTAATACCCCTCCAGGTAAGCCACAAAGTCATGCATATCAGCAGTTAACATTGACAGGCTCACAGGCTGAAAGTATAACAAATACTTTATCTGGACAGGTCCAAAAGTTCTTATCTGAGTGAGGAGTTTTCACTCATGGTCAGATGCTCGACTCTATATAAAACACTATTTCCTGAAATCCACACAATCTAGCCATATTGATCGTAAGGTATTCATTCTGAAACTATTCACACTGACATCCAAAGCAGTATTAAACTTTGTTTATCATAACCTTTATCCAAACATTAATTTAAACTATATAACATATACATATTAACCAATAGGTAAAGACTTTTCAATCAAAATCGAAAATGTAATCTACTGCAGTGATGTAACAGAGCTTAGATCTAACAAATGAAGAATATAATTCCTGTGTCTTACAGGCTTCTTTTCCTCCTTGAGCCTTATCTCTATCCTCTGAGCAGTGTCACTCTCTCTACACAGTGAGGCACTGTCAAGATCCTCAAAGTCAGCCAAGACAGCCACCTGAAAACAAATGACCATGGTTGAAATAATTGATATTAACAAATTAAAGTTCTTATAAAAAATAGGAAGTTTTTATAATAAATTATGTTAATAGTATGTTAATTTTTTTCCAAGATTCTACCATATTTCCTTCTAAATATACTTTGTCATTACATCGACAGTCACAGAAACTGAACCATGTTCACATGGCTGGGAGCTATGGAAGCCCATAACAAAGACACCCTCCTCCAATAATCTACACCACAATTCCCCCTATAGAACACATTATATGAACAAAATCTTACCATATTTGCCTTAATATTGGTGACCTGACTGATGCCACACCTGGGACCAACCATGACCATGGCCTCCTGCTTTGTGTCCTGAATATACAGAAAAAAAATTAATCTTAAGAAGTGTATGCTCATAATGATGGTTTAGAACATGAAATCCTCTCCTAACTCTGTTCTACCCTTTTTTTTTTCAAATTGAATAAATATTGAAAAATCTTGCTACTTTGTGGTACATACATTTTTTTCATATTGCATGTTGTAACTCTTTAGAAGACTTGACACAAATTCTGTTTTAGCTAAATATAAAAAAAAGTCTATGAATATCTCAAGTGTCATACGAGTCACTGTGACCTGACAAAACCAATACACAAACAAAAACAGAAACAAGGACTCACAATTACAGTTGCCATGAAGCATTTGCCACCAAAGCTCCTGAGTTCACTAATTATTTTGACATAGTGTAATTTTGCTTGCAGAGCAGTCAGCTGCTTCTGCCCTGGTGGCATCAGATTCTGGTTCAGCTTAAAGTTCTGTGTGATCACTTTTCGAATGTCTTTCATCTTCATTGTATTGAGAATGTGTTTTGGAAGGAATTTTTCCAGCCCAAACTCCTTCTCTATTGCCTTGAAAGAGACTTTGGAGATATTGTTGGAGCTTGCATGTTCTTGCATATGGAGAGAAGCCAAGCGGAGAGCCATGTCATACTTCAACTCTGAAGCAAACCTCTCTTGTATCACGTCATTAGTGCACTGTAAAAATAAAAGAGGTATTAATCAGTTATAGCATTCTTATCTGAAGTTATTTATCCAAAAAAATGTTCTCAGTTTCTCTTTGAAATCCACTCAAAGGAAAGTTTTTTCAATTAAGAGATCGTAGGAAAATGGCAGACTGAACTGACAAAGGTCAATGATTTTTCAAGTACATGATTCTGACAGCTACAAACTCTAGCGCATTGTTTTTGATCCAACCTAACACAATCCAACTCAATAATACCCCACGCGATCAATCAAACCTAACAATCTCATCATCATCAGCACAGCCTACCTGGAGATAGAAGTACTCAAATGCAGCAGGGTCCTTCCTCAGTAGATCAAAAGCATCTTTTGGCACAAAACAAACACGGAACAGACACTTGTAATGTTGAGCATCAGGATGGTTGGCAACCTGGAGAACAAAAAAATTAATAATTAAAAAAAAGGATAATTAGAATCTATGTTGCAATAACCTCTCCCTTATTTACAAAAATTTATTGGTACATAAAAAGGCATAGTGTGGACAATCTTGTAGGTTTGTCCCTCAATTTTTTTTTACCTTAAATGATCTTGATTTTGAAACCATCTAAGACTATATTCTATTACAATAATTTGTATGCTAAGAAGCTGGATTAATCAGCTCTGACTGACTAGATTTCACAAAATCCTGACAATTTTCACAAATTGGTTTCTTAATATCTAGGCTCACATCAGCTAGAGATTCGTGTTCCTGAAGTGGACTCATCTTCCTGGGATCAGGGAACTTCATGTTTTGGAGAACTAGGGCAAAGTGTTCCGCATTCTTCACTCCTAGTTTCTCCTGGAGGGATTCTAACACATCCTGAGAGAAAAAAAAAAGAATAATTCTGCATTTCATTGGTATACACAACACCTTAGACCAAATAACAATTTATAGCTGAAGTTGCCCCTGCATGTCAATCACTTACTAAATTGACATCAACTTGAGATGAGATCAATTTTGTGAAATGAATGCAGAGTCAGTATATTATTCTATGATGAGAGTATGCAAATGATAAAATGACTTCAAATACTCAAAAAGAATATGTATCATGGCTTTTTATGACATTAAGTGACAGATGAGTGTTTAACCATCAACTTTGACCAATTTTTTTTTTTATCCAAACGTAGCTAACTACAGACAAGTATTTTAAACTCATCCTGTCCTATATAAAAGTTCTACCATTAAAATTCAATAAAATACAATTATTCAACTTAACTGCATTTATGCTATAAGGTTATACTTTAAATCTTCCCTTATCCTTATATCACAAAATACTTAAAAGTTTACCTTAACAGTGGTCCTCTTGTCATATTTAAAGGATTTGGTCTGTCCATTCTCCAAGAATACTTTGAGCACATTAGGCATGAAAGGGATGTAGCTTTCATGAGTGGAAGGCTGAAATATCAACATAGCCTTATTCAAATATCATCAGAATAATAAATTTTACAGAACACTGAAAAATCCAATGAGAAAACCATAGAATCAGTAAACTGTGCATTTACAACCTAATCAAATAGCACAGCATTAATATGGTCATTTACATGTGTGTGTGTGTGTGTGTGTGTGTGTGTGTGTGTGTGTGTGTGTGTGTGTGTGTGTGTGTGTGTGTGTGTGTGTGTGTATACCCACATTAATGACAGGTGCCCCATTCACAATGACAGCCTCAGCAAAACGAACTCTTGATGGGTTGTTTTTGAGTTTGGCTCTCTTAGCAGGTGAAATGAAGGCTGACTTTCTCCCAGATACCTGTATAAAAACATGAAAAATATGAAGAAATGTATAATAATTAGTGAACAGACAAATCTCAGGCAAATCTGATATTTTTTCAGATTAAATCTACTTATCTTCTATGAATTAGCAGGAAAAAAGTAAACCTTTTAAAAGAACTTTCCCACCAATTACCAATTAATTTTAGGATGCTGCATGTATAATCTGAACAGGCAGTGTGTCAATTAAATGCTCTAAAACTGCAGTCTCTTCGTTGCATTAATTTTTTTATTCTTATTAATCACATAGCTTCCTATAACTGGGAACTGGATACTCTCAAGAAATAGATTGTTCTTAAGCATCCTTGGACAGAACATGATGTCAACTCCAAGAAATGTCCAGGATCTCTTTCACTGACACAGGAAACAGTGAAACCATTGGAAAAAATATCTCCTTAATCAGCCCTAGATTGTGTTTAATAATACCTACAGGATTTCCTCCCTCAGTATCAAATTAGGCAATTATAAAACCTTCCTGACAAATGGTTTACTTGAAAGGAAATTCATCACTCAGAGACAACCAGAGGCAATAACAGCTTCCTTGCAGGATGCTTGCAAGCATCTGGCTTGACTTTAGGCTGAATCTTGCCATCTTAAATTTAATTTTATCCCAAGCAATTCTCTAAAATATTGCTATGTCCAACCTCTTAGGGCATGGCCAGCGTCTATAATTCATTTCTGTAAGGCCTTTTGTAACTACATTCAATCTAGATACATTCATCTTAAGGGTATCTATAAACAAGACAGTTGTTGGATTTGTAATTCAAATGCATTGTCAGATAAAACTCGTTTAGGAGGTTATTAACCCACGACTTAATCTAAAGATTATTCTCAGTGGACGTCTGACTTGCAACAACATGACTGATGCAATAAACTTTCAAATGTACACGGGGATCCTGATATTTTGTTTCTGCGATTCACCAGTGGTATGCTAACACTGCACAATTAGTGTCAGGTTTTCTTTGCTAAAACTAGTGTCACATGCTCACACACATGATATGAACAAACAAACAAACAAACAGACAGTATACTCACATTTTCTGTATATGGTTGACACACTGTAAGAACAATGGTCTCTCTGCAGGACCTAGAAAAATAAAAATGATAGAAGTCAGTCGTGAGAACATAAATCTCACATCATATAATTGCATGATCAACTTTTTTTTCAATAAGTATTAATTTCACAGCAATTAAGAATGTTTTCAAATAACATCAAATTTCATGTCAATATCTATTTTCCAAGATTGGCAGTTTGCATCTCATCAATAATTTGCATTTTTAAACAAATGTTTCCTAAAGGTTTACATAATAGGGTGCAAGCAAAAATGTTTTTTTCAAAAAATCATTTTTTTTCTTTTGTTTTAATGCCAAATGTCATGTTTTCCAAGATTATAAGAAAACACACTATGAATGAAACTGCGCTGTAAATCTCAAGTCTTAGGTATATGACTTTTAAATAAATATTATAAGAAATGTTTAACTATACAGATATCAATACAGGTCAAGTTTCTATCAAGATTATAATTATATTATTTTTTTTTAATGAGTCTGAATGATGTGGGGAAGCCAGATAGGATAAACCAATTATCACAAATCTTGTACATATATTGAATTCCATCAATCCATTAATTCCAAAGAGATTACAGAAAGGAGAAACCTTAAGCTTTCCTAGAAGTGTTCAATATACTGAAGTAATGAAGCATTCCTTTTATTCAAATATAATTAACATGCAATGATTATAAAATCTTCTATAATCAACCAAATGTTCAGCCAAGTGTTTCATTGCTTTTTGGAAAAATGTCTGTCATTGTCAATCTACAGTGTCCAAAGCCTTACACATGTAATTATGTGGCTTCAGCATTCTACAATACAAACATTCAGAGTTTATTACATAGACACTCGAGATCATGCAAGAAGGCTAAAAAAGAAAGGGACATGAAATAATTTCTGGCCATCTGAATAAAATGAAAAAATGTGGGAAAAAATCTGGATACAGTGTTTTGAATGAATGAATGAATGAATGAATGAATGAATGAATGAATGAATGAATGAATAAAAGAATACAATAAAAATGACACTGGGCATTAAGGGAAGAATCCAAAACAAAATTGAAATTCAATCTCTTGGAGCTTTCTCTACAAATAAATCTCTCAATGTTTTTTTCCCATATAAATGTAAACACCAGAGTGTTGGAGTGAATTAGTCACCTCACCTGACTAGATTAATCACATATTCCCTGGGTGCTTTCTTCACATCTTCTCCATTTATCTTCAATATTTGATCTCCTGGTAGCAACCTCCCAACACTTGGGCCACCTGAGAATACAAGTACACAGTTTGCATGACGCCATGTATCTATAACTGTAACAATCAGGATTTGAAACCCTCTGAAAAATTGTTCCAAATTACACGGTCGTGCTGTGTTGACATTAAGCTGAAAAAATTGTTCTGTGTTCATGGTTCAATAAGTGTGACAATTTTTCTGGAGAATAACGAAGGGTTGTGCTGAGATGAAAGACTGGTTTTAAGCCTCTGGCCATCAGTGAAAAACACCTAGCCTTCCCTAGCACTGTTTGTCAGCCATTTTAGAAATGACATAGGTGTGTATACAGAGGAAATCCTTAACTCCTTCAATAAATCCCTTTACTTAATTTTGCTCCTCACCTAAGGACACACCTCAAATCACTAAAAATATGCAGTTGAATTTGCAGATTAAAGAAATGATGAAGCTGTATTATCTAGTGAATTTTCAACAACTTACATGCCAGATCTTTGCCTACCCTGTTGGCATGTGCCTCCATTTTCAATCTAACAATTAAAAGCAACACTGTTGTGACATTATACTGTCCATATTCACAATGGGCTTGGACAGAGCAGTCCTGAATCAATCTAAATTATACAACAGATATCCACCTTCAAACTGGTAAGAGATATTTTGCAAACAATATACTTCCCTTTGAATAATAAAACGCATACCAATTGTACAAAAAAAGGAGGCAGAAGGTACAAGCACCAATTTTATTACAATTGTTCCAGTCAAGACTGAATCAGTTATGGCCATCCTGAGCAGTGTGAATGTGGCCACAATGTCCCACCTGGCAGCAAGCTGTCCCACTATATGAAATAAGATGCTTTGGTATAACAAGGCTGCCACACTTAAATGTCAGTTTGAATATTAATACTAATCTAAATATCATTTATCATGAACACTGGGTGGTTGTATTTCATAATCGTTGGTATTATCTGGTGAAGGTCACAGTTTCTTCATGAAAGATTGAAAGCAATTCAATTAACAAATCTAAAACATTAATACATTTTGACTAGAAAGTGTTCATGAATAAAATTGAGGATTTTTTAAAGCCTCTACATGCCTTGCTACAGAATTAGTGGAAGTAATTTCAACCTCAAGTAACTCAGAATTGCAGATGAATGATTACCCTTTAAATATACAAAAAAAATCAATTATTTTGTGGAAATAAATTCAACCTAAAAGAACTGAGAACTGAAGATGAATGATTACTATTCAAATATAAAAAATCGATTATTTTCACCATTGGAAACAAGCCTTCGGGCACCGCTTACACAACAACCATCATAAAAAAAAGACACTTGTAATTCTGCCAACTTGACCCCAAAGCCTAGCTGACAAATAACATGACACACTCAGGAACACTAGGCAGGTGTATAGCACCACACACCTGTACATAATACCTGTGTCCCCAGCAATGACAACATCACAGTGGTATTAATAAAACCAGGCACACTGACCACTGGGGCAGTGCAATAAAACAATAGGAAAAGCAAATACGGAATTCAAAGGAAACCATGTTTAATTCCCAGCTGATTTTATTTGGACTGCAGAGTTAAATAAGGTCAGAGGAAAAAGCAATCCATCTTAATGTTGTATTTGTGGAACAATTATGTAGATTTGGTAGCACAGCTGAGCCTGTAGACATGTTTCACGCTTGCAAAACACAAAAAGCTGAGACCTTTGCCAAGAACAGCAGCTGACTGGAGAATTGAACTTTTAAGTTGGATTTTCTACAAATGTATAACAGATTCAAACACCACATCTGCCCTGCTACACTTTGGTTGTACATTTCTATACAGACCCAACAGAAACATGTACTTAAAAAGTTGCATGAGCAAATTGAGCACAGATGTATAATTGCTACTGGCAGGAAACCAATGTCTTACATGACTCATCCAGAGGAAAAAAATTGAAAGAAAAAAACCTTGCAAACTGAAGCCAACTATAAGTACTTAATTTCTAGTTTGTGCAGGTGTTACTGTGGTTAAGGCGTAGAGCTTGCTTAAAATAAAAAAGAAAAGAGTTCAAAAACAAGTAAAAAACAAGGGCTTATTTTCTATAGTGTATTATGTGTGGTAGGCGAAGGGAAATTGCTTTTGTTACATAAATACCAGAAAAAAGTCAAGAAATGAAAAAGTCCTTTATCTTTAGTGCATGTAAAAGAATGTTGCGAGGAAAAATCATTTAAGATTCTCGCTTCAGTTGAAAATTGCTTAATGTCCATGATGAGTACAACAATGGTGTATGGTTAAGGTATAATTACCGCTCTTACATTTATCAAGTCTTGAAATTCTGGTGCATGTGAATGAGCATGCACAGAACTTACATAATTTTGTTTTGTTGAAATTAGGAGAAAAAAAATAAAACGAGACAAAATAATGTCTGTAATTTGTAGTGTGTGCACAGGTGTAATGACAGTTTAATGTCTGCATGTTATATTTTGTCAAAATTGAAAAGGTACACTTTCCATATTTGAAAATGTAAGACTCTATATATCTGACAAAGCTATATTACAAAATTAAGAGCGTAAAAATGACCAAATCCCTAAAAAAAAAAATAATAAATAGATAAAAAATGTTTCCCTCTGAAATGTACAGGAAGACAAAGCAAGTAATCAAGTGACTTACCAGCAATTTAGAAATAAGCTATGCAATATAGAACATCGAATCCCCATACAGTACTGGTTGAGCAATGTGCTTGAGTAGACACTTTCTATTTTTTAAGAGAACAATCCATTTTGTAGGAAAGTCCTAGGATATTCTACTTAAAGTAACTGCAAACTTCAAATTATATTCCTAACCACCTTCATAAATTTTAGTTCTTTGAATGCATATAAACTGGATTTTATTCCAATTTAAAATGTGCAGGAAACTAGATTTTAAAATTTACATTTGTGGTTACTTCTAAGTGGACCTCTTAGTACCAGGTGTTCTCCCAACATCAAATAATATGAATGCAGAAAACCAGATAATTAAATGCATGTGCACGTGAGAGTGGGTGTGCGTGAATGATTGTGTGCATGGGAATGGTCAATCATCAGATGATCGTGTGTATGCAACTGTACCAAAATATCCATACAAATGTGCATGCTTGTATTATAAGTATTGCTTTATTCCTGTTACATTCACTCACCATCAGTGACAAATCTAACCACCACAGGCTTCTCACTGCCCGCCACAAACCCAAACCCCAGCTGTGCGTCTCGGCTCAGGTGGACCTCTCTAGGCTGAGGAGGATCATTATAGAGCTCTGGGTTCTCGCGAGGATCCTGGCGACTGGTGACCTTGGAGATATGACTGAAAAAGTGTGAATTTGATTTAAATAGGTAGAAAACTGGTTAAAACAATATCATTAATTTTTTATCTTAAATATGAAATAGACATGATTATAGGTAAAAACTTCAGTAATATTCAGTAAATATAACCATCTTACAACATGCAATTTCTCAATCTTTATCCCTACAATTTTATCCCTACAATCATACCATTTATTCTATTCCTACTTCTATCCTAAATACTTTCCAGCTCCCCCTCCCTACTATTACAAAAATATGACTACAGGTGGTAGAGGCACTAGTCAACCTTAGTGGTCACTTAATACATAATACCTGACTGCAAAGGAAAACAAACAACTCAAGTTCAATACCTACTTATCTAGTAACAACTTTGAGAACTATATTATTGGAATTCCTATTGATTTTCAGAAATGGACAGTGGCTAGGCATGCCATGGGCAGTTTGATCAGAAACGCGCATCTGTGTGGGTGTTCGGTGTGTATTCGTGTGTAGCAAATCTGTATGCATGGCCGTGCCCACATAGCTGATGCATTTCTATAAAGGCATATACATGAACAGGCTAGTAATTTCTGTCTGTGTCTATGACTGGCTATTGATCGACTGCTATGTAGGTGTCAATCTCGTCTCTATCTCTTTGGCTTGGCGTCTAATGTGTTGTAGAACACCTGGATGTTTGAGCTGCTAACCACGGAAACAATGTCTGTATTGAGATCAATTCATGGAAAACCCACCAGAATACAGACTCTCTGCCAGTCTTATCAAGAGGACCTAGATCTAACATAAAAATACCATTAATCTAAGACAAAGAAAACAATAAAGTTCTACAAATGTTCATTGGTTTGGCAGAATGAACATATATCAGTTTAATAAATAAAAAAATCTGATATATTTTTAATCTGTGTTAAGAGCATTGAAGTTATCAGAAGAATGATACAACTTTGCTATGAGAATTGCCAAAAAAAATTTATATAACAATAAAAGAAACATGATTTTATTTAAATCAAGGTTTTGTGGTTCTTCTCAGTATTTTCCTACTTCACGTATACAGCCCGTGAATACCCTTGTTACTTGGCATGTGAGGAGTTAAAATGGACCCTGGCTTCAGGACCCCCACCTTGTATTTGGTTTACCCCTTTAGTTTGTAAATGATAACAAACATGAGGATTGTTGCACAGAAAAAGAAAACGATTACCTTGCAGTCAGGAGTCGTGCCATAAAAAGAGTTAACACACAACCTAGTTTGTCTTTCTAGATACACTGTTTGTTCTTTGTACAAATGTTTGTGCAAATTTCTTTTGCTTTGTCGCTCCTTTTTGAGTCTTCCTTTGTAAACCATACTAAAGGTAAAGCCTGTGTGGAATACTGGTTATGATATGTTATACTTTCATCCTAACCTTGCGCAGAGATATGTCAAAGAGCATGAGAATGCGAAAACAGTGACTATACTTATTAATCCACATAAACATCAACCAGATGCCATCGACCAGATTTACAAATAAATTCCAATACCAAAAATTTTATGCACAATGTTTTGTTTTCACAATGTTTGTGTTCAAAGGAAATTACTTTCCTCAATCATAGAAAAAAAAATAACTAAGACCATTCTTCAGAGACAGATGCAGACATTTTTGTTTCCATTTCAAAATTTTACTGTGATCAAGACCAGCCAACTGTTTCTGAAACTGTCATAAACTGGACTCATATCTGTTTGCTTACTTCTCCCAATACTTACTTAATGAAATATTTTTTCCCATCTTCATCTACCGCCTCCTCCCATCCATACGGTAACCCTGTGGTAGGATCCCAGTTTTCTGGAGGTGGGACCCATGTGGTAAACTTAGTACCATGACTGGAATTATAAAATACACATTATTAGTTGTGATATGGTAATGATATGATAGGATCCCAGTTTTCTGGAGGTGGGACCCATGTGGTAAACTTTGTACCATGACTGAAATCATAAAATACACATTATTAGTTGTGATATGGTAATGACATGATAAGATCCAAGCTTTCTTGAGGTGGGACCCATGTGGTAAACTTGGTACCATGACTGGAATTTATAAGATACACATTATTAGTTGTGATATGGTAACGATATGATAGGATCCAAGTTAAACTTGGTACCATGACTAAAATTATAAGATACACAACATAAAACATGGTATGGTAACTGTGCAGTAAGATCTCAGCTTTTTGGAGGTGGGACCCTGTGTAATAACCTTGGTACCATGACTGGAATATCAAGATACAAATGTAAAGCATGATATGGTTAACCATGTAGCAGGATTCCAGTTTTCGGGGGGGGGGGCTTTGTTAACTTGGTATCAGTGCCTTGAATGATAGAATTTAACACCTACACTTATGGAAGTAGGCCCCATATGAGTAGGTTGGTACTGTGTCTAGAATAGCCAATTAAACTATTATGTCAAAAGAGGTACTGATTTTTTAACCTAGCTTACTTCGTGGATAATAAGATCGATTAGGCAAGCTCAATTTGGACAGTGATGATGGAACACAATAAACACGCCAACATTATCTCTTGATCTATCATACCTGTCAATTAATTGCTATGTTGCCTGGGATAATGACAGATTGGTATATGAAGTACCTTAAAAGGTCTTTGCAATAACATGATGTTCAGAATTGTGACTGCACCCTGGTTATTAAACACCTGAATGTGGGATGTTGGCATCACATCTGTTACAAGCCATAAGATGATTTAATACCAAAGTCAGTTTATTTCAAGCAATACTGTATGCATATGAGAATTTCTTAATATACATATATATTTTTTTATGTATGTATGTATTGCACAGGGACAGTCACATAGCAGTTAGCCCAAGCAGGCTTGCTTCTTTTATTTTTACTTCTATTAGTGTACTAAGGTCTATACAGACAAGGGCCATCTAAGTTCACAGGCAAGACCACAATCAGATCAATCAACCCAGGAATTAAACATCTAAGGTGTGAAAGTGTCTCTTGGCAACCTGGCCCCCCTGCCAAAGCTTCCTTAATTTGCTTCTGACATTCAAATCTCTGAACAATCAACAAAATTTCCTAAGTTATGAGCAAATGCAACTTTCAATCTGAAGTAGCCCTCTCTTTCATGGGCCTTTAAAACTTATGCCCTGGCAAGTCCTCAAGTTGTCTATACACAGAGTAGGTTGTATCCCACTAGTTTAAATATTGAATCTAGCTTCAATGTTCACCTGTGCCACAAAACACCCGCGAGCCAATGGAGGGCTTAGCAAATATATAGTATATGTTATATAGTGAGGCAAAACTGATAATCCCTGTAACTGTTTAGCCATTTGAGGCTTATGGTTTGAAATCAACATCCAATATGCTTTAAATGGAGGACCACTATTCAGATTCAGACTTAATCAAACTTTTGAATATGAACTGCTTCCGATGAATGAAAGGAAACATTGCAATAACTGCTGATCACCATTTTGCATGATTTAGTACCTTATATAAAAAGCATACCATATTTTTTTTTTAATTTGGGATCTGGAATGAGCTTCAAGTTCAAAATGTTTTAGAGACTACATAACACATACGTATATCCAAAAGAAACCATCCATAGCCATAAGACCCTTGTGCCTACTCTTATGTCTACTAAGTTAAAATTCTAACAACTATAATTAAGCCATACAAGTAATTCAGTCTTGATGCCATTTGGCCCGTATTATTTGGTATCATTGTTACTCTCTCTGCTGTAAAGCAAATCAATATCTTGGCCATAGAAAGAAAGGAAATGAGGCAGTTACCCCCAACAAAGTGAATAAATGCAGGAGAAAAATTCCCTCTTACTTCTGGTTGCTTGTTAAACAAAATATGTGGAGCATTGTGCAAAATTTGACAAAAAAAAAGGTAGGCAAGGTAATGGGCCACTTGCTACTGATACAAGTGGAGGTCCCTCTCATTCTCTTGAATTCTCACATGAACAATGGGACAACAACTGACTTTTTCTAATATTTGTGTATTGGTATTTTTTTATTATTTACTAAGTATATGATGCCAATATGGAAAATGCACCATAACATTCAAAGAGTTCATTATCAGTCACTGCTGTTATGTATTATCAAAAATGTACATTCTGACTGTAGCTGGCAGAGTTGGAACTGCTGCTGATGTTTACAGAAGTCTCACAATTAAATGTATAGTTAGTATAATATTAGCCAGATTGTGAGTAATATGTCCACCAAATATACATTTTATCATATTTTCACTACCCAACTTTGACCATTTTTTTTCTTTAATTTTAAAATTTTGGTCACCATCTTCTTCCAGTCAAGTCGGTCAATTCCACAAACTGCGACTCCTGTGCCTGTCACTGTATCAAAGAAATCTCACACAGAAAAAAAAAACTGAATAAAAATTTTAAATCATAACTAATCAGTTCCATAAAGGATTGGGATGAGTTTAGAAATAATACAGAGACGTTATGATATATTATATACAGGCTACTTACGCTGAGGAGAGACTACTGGACCTTCTCACTTTCCCTGTCCTGAAGAGAGCAGGACTGCTGGTGGTCCGTTTCAGTTTAAGACTGCCAAATTTCAGGCCACCAAACATGATCAGTTACATCTTTCTACACAGATAATCCAGCTTTCTTCACAACTGATGCTCAAGTGGATTAAAATCCTTGAAATACACGGGTGTACAATCTTTCTGTGCTGTCCCAAGAATAAATCTCTGGTCAAACTGTAAATTCTATAATGGCTACATATATTTCATGAACTACTCATCACTGTGAGTGATAGGCCTTTCAAATATGTCAAGTCTGCAATGAAGAACCATTCAGGCGCTGCTACATCTATCCACTGTAGTACAAACCCAGAACACAAGATAAGCCCTGTAATCCATCATTGCTGCAAAATGTTTGAATAAATCCCATTTCACATGACACAGAGCTCTTATTTTTATCTGATGCAGTAATGGATATTTTTTATAACAATAATATAATATCAAGCTATTTCAAAAAATACATCAGATAGACTGTTATTTCCACATCAGTTCCATTAAAAGGCATTCCCATTAATCTGGTGAAAGCTACCATCAGTACAAAAGATCAAGTATTCAAAGTTTTAGTAGGTTCCATAAAGCATTAAAAAGTGATAATCTCAGATCTACAGTTCCCAGAAAACACACAGTGAATATCACTTATGTGCTAGCAATAACAAGTTACCTAGGGCTGATCATCATTTCTATCAGCAATGCTTGTAGTTTCCTCAAAGAAAAATAAAAGTTCAAAGGAATGTCAGCTTCCTTAAAACTAAATTTCCCCCTCTACCATGAGATGTGTGCAAGGCTTTGCCTAGAATACCCTGAAGATATAGAAGCAATCCATCAACATCAGTTAACTGGCCGCAAATGGATTTCCTAACTACTTTCCAATTTTCGGTCTTATCAAACAGCTTTGATTATTAAGTGCCTCAGTTGCACAACTTCACCCTGGAGCCTGCTAGAAATTCCTCCATGCCTAATTAATCTGCTGTTTAAATCCCTGTGAAAATGCCCAGCCTGTTCAACATTCCGTGCCAAACTCCCAGTTTCTTCTCCATCTTGGATATTGAATTGGTCCTAGCTAGCAAGTTGTGTGGTACAAGATCAATAAGTTGACTAAGTTCCACTATCCCTTTTGCTCACGATTGGAGGTCAGACAATTAAAATAACGGGCTATGCATAATTAACAGTCAAAAAATCCATAGTCGTTTTACACTGCGTAGCCCCCAATTCGATTCCTCCCTCTCATATGTGCACCATTTATATTGTGAATGGTACTGAGAAATGCATATCGAATGTGCATAAACCCATTGTTACGAGAGTCTCTTTACATTTACCTTTAACGGTCACCCATTGAGGGGAGAAATACAAACAACATCTAAATGACCGGCATTTGCCTAACATATCAAATTTCGCACCTGAGATCAGCTATTTAAAACTTTTCAAAATATTCTTAAAAATTAGTCTTTTCTTGCATCCCTATGCTCTCACATGTTTGTGTACCTTGCTAAACCGAGGTTAATTAAAATATAAAATAACAATTTAACTCAGTGATCCAATTTTTCTTATCAAATCTTTTACAATGAGAAAGCAATTTTATATAATGTTATTCTAAGTGAGTCAATAATCAACAACTGGCTTTCACTCCAGAGTTACAACCTAGAGTTAACACACTTTAACGGCCTATTGCTTCTTAAGCCTAATGGAATTCTGGAAGATAACATCCAACAGACTGGAACATTTGAGAACATCTGGTACCCTACTAATACTTAACTGAGGAAAATAATTTTTTATCTCCACAAGTTTATCTCATCTGACAAACTACATTAACCTAATATTTTCCCATCTATTTTATTCTTTCTATTTTCTTTTTTATATTTAATATCTAAATTACATCTTTCTTTAAAAATATTTCTAGTCTAATTAACCTTTCTTTAGAAAAGATAATAAGAAAAGATATTATTTATGGACTGATGCCTCAATAATGAAGTGCCAACAGTGGCTCCCTCCTGTGACAAAAAATAGAAATAATTTGTGAACCCCCCAATGTCCTATTTAATACTAATAGCTGTCAATACTGTGCAAAAACATCTTGATAGTAAAATTGATTTTGAAAGAGGTCTTCCAAGCATAGGTGAATCCTCACTGGAAGAGGGGGTGAGCTTTCCAAATGCCAATCAGCTAAACACCTGGAGCTACTATTTTAAACCAATCTCCTCACTTTCATATATACTGAATGATTTTGCAAAATTAAAAAAAATCTTACCTCCAAATTATATTTTCTTGCATGACTGTAACTTTTCTGGTTCTAAATCCCTCCCAAATCTCTGTTCT